CTTGTTGTGACTCGAACTCTTAGTTTGTAGTATATATAAACTATATACATAATTTCTAAAACTAAATAAAAGCCCAACTCCGCCTGGTTATCTAAAGATTACCTAGACGCAACCTATCGCACTGGCTTACGGATAAGCTAAAAATAGACTCTTTTATGAGCTTGTCCAAAAGGGGTTTACACCCTTTTGTATCCAGTTTTCTACTACATCATACTATACGTTATACTTCTCCTTATTCTTTATGAATATTTCAGACTCTTCTCTTTTGAAATTTTCTTTACGAATGGTTGGAGTATTCTTCTTGGCTGTATTACTTTGGTCTTCTTACTTCTTTTGTCCTTCTTCTTTATATTATGATTCTTTTCCAAATCGACAATCTTGATGCATCTGTCTTTCCAAATAAAATCATAAAAGCTGTTCCAAATTATGTGCGTGGCAAGTTCTGTAATATATAATGTCGTTTTCGATGAAATTTGTAGATTCAAGATTCTATTAAATGAGTCCAACGTAGTTAGACCTTTAATCTATAGCTTTCTATTTTCTTGCCTAACAAGATCTGTCTCCCCAATTAGAATTTTAGACAAGAGATTTTTCAAGCATCTCTTCTTTTCTTCTTCCATAAGTTTAGACCATACCAGATCTAAAGTTGTAGTCTTGATACTTTGCCACATTAATTTATAGTGATCGCATTCAGCTAGGTGATCCTGGGTCTCTACTATGCCACTGTTACATGCTAAACATTCGCTATTTGTATAAATATCTGGTCTTTGTATTGCCAATGTTTTGAGGACTGGTTGACTTTCTGAGAGAAACTATTTAATTAAGAAAAAGGAATGTAGCTTAAAAATACAATATTTGTTATTTTCTCTATATTTTTCTTTGAAGTAATAATCTAAAAGCTTTGTCAATAGAAAAAACCAGTAACACTTTTAATATTCATCTCTCCACCAAGATTTTTCATACAAGGATACCAACTTCTACTAGTTATCTTGTACAATAATATTCTTGGCTTGTATACTAAATATTACTTATAGAAGAATTCTGTATAAAGAATGTTGATCTCTAGACAAATCACTATATTAGGCCACAACTCTCTAACAAAACTGTGTTTTTTTTTTAGTTAGAAATTTTAATGCAAATAATTATTGGAAAGAGTTTTTTTGTTTATTTTTACTTTGTGATGGTTTTGTATTGTTAATATAAAATTATTACTTTTTTTTGCTTTTAGTAAAGAAAGAAGATATAAAGGAATTAGCTTTGACAGGCTGACAAAGTTTATTTAACTTGTATACAGGTTGGTGTGACAAGTCACAGCTGGGCATGTTTATTATAGCTGGATGATGTCAAACTCACAATTGGAATAACTTATTTAATTTTGTAATAAGCATTACTTTACATTCAAGATGGTTTGCTATCATGGATTAAATAAAGTTGAATTATTTGAGCTCTGGCAAGACTGTCAAAAAGTGAAAATAAAAATAAAAATAAAAAATAAAAAAATTTAGCAAAACTATTTAAATTATTAATTATAAATCTAATAGTTTTTTTTTTTTTTAAATATTAAAGGTGAGACCTTGCTCTTATCTTTATTATAAATCTAATAGTTATAATCTGGTTAAAAGACCTTTTTTAAAAATTTCGTACATACCTGATACGGTCAAAAACAAAACCACGTGATACAAATTGATCGTCGGAATACATTAATAACAACATTATACGCAGTTTTTTTTAACTGTTAAAAATTTAAATTTGTGTTTCTGGATAATAACCTTTAAAGCTAGGCAAAATGCGTAATGAAACAGAATCTCAGGTTGGAAGTAGTGTTATTCATAATTTTACGTGGATTATACCAAATTTCAAAAAAATAGAGGCATTAGCCCCAAGGCCTCAATGCTTTCATAGTCCTCAATGGACCTGTAACATCTGTGTGTTCGATGACAACGGGTGCTCCTACATACCATTAAATTGGAGACTAAAATTTCATCCTAACGGCAATAGCGAAAGTTCCCAAAATAGCATCAGTTGCTATTTAGAAACCATATTTCCGATTGACGCACAGCCTTCTTCACGAATCAATGTTAATTTCTATATTGGCTTTTATGTTCCTGTTCAACAAGGGGAAAACCGAATCTTGAAATTAGTAAAACGTCGTAGGTAAGTTAGTTAATATAGAATATCTAACCGATAATCTATATATTTTAGAGGTACAAATTTTGAATAAATCAATTGTAAAATTTTTTTATGATATAGTGAACGTCATGAATTCTTAAAGGTAAAACCGGCTTGGGGATGGCCAAGTTTTTGTTCAAAAACAGTTCTAAACTGTGAAGGAAATAATAATGTTAATAATACAGAGGAGCCTGAAATACTATTGCCAGAAATGATTCAGCAGACAGCGAGTGCTTTGGAAGACGATACTCTTGTTGTTCATGTTGTGATAATCACGCCGAACCCAGGCGGTATCCCGGATGAATTAGAGGAGTCAATGGCGCGATTAACATTAAATACACGAACCGCTTGGACGGCATTTTCACAGACTTTAAATACACCAAATTTTAGTGACATTAAATTCTTGGTTGAAGGACGAACAATTCTTGCACATCAAGTTATATTGGCAGAAAGATCTCATTACTTTAAAACATTAATAAAGAATGACTGGACGCAAGAAATCAAAGAAACAAAACCAGTACATATTCAGGATGTAGATTATAATACTTTTTATTACGTTCTACATTATTTGTATTCTGGTACTTTACTGGAAATTTCAGGAGACACGATTTCTGCCAAGATTGCACAGCTTCGAAAAATATTTATCGATGCAGAAATGCGTAAAACACTTGAAGTGGACGCTATACATGAGCTTGTTGAGGTTATCATTTCTGAATTAATTAATTTGATAAACATGAACACTTGGGATAGTTTACTTTTATTTGCGTGGGAACGTGACATTGTACGCTTACGGAAAGCAGTTTGTCGGTTTGCGAAACGAAACTGGACAGAACTTCGGAAAAGTGAATCTTTTAAAAATATTTTACAAGACGCAAATGTTGATGTGGTAGAAGATCTCATTACATCAGTCAAGACATGAATCCTCTATCTGTAATATTTGAAATTTTGAATCTAGGAACTCGTTAATCATACCAGATAGTTCTTGTAACAGAATTTACTGTATGAGGTCAAGTTTTATTATATAATGTATATTACCAATACTGACTATGTTTAATGTTTTTCTTATCATTAATTTTTGAATGGCTTTTTCTTTTCCTTTTTTTTTTTTTTTTTTTTTTTTGCCATTATATAAGTGTATTGATAGTTGCATGAGGATGTGCATAAAAAAAAAAACAATATATTTTACTTGATTATTAGATGTTCTAACGACAATTAAATAGAGATTGTATCCAATGCATTATCAATCAATACGCACTTCAAATTCTAAAAAGAATTTTTTCCAAACTTGTGTAAACATGATCTTAAATTCAGAATCTTTTTCTTTATACTGATCAAGATTTTCATACTTTTCTTTGAATATGAACCACTCTTGCTGTAGTAAGTTGGTGACAGATCTGTTTTCGTCTCCAAATTGCTGGTGTAACAACTCCCAGTGGTGAAGTAAGCTTTTGAGTCTTTGATAAGCATCATTTAATTGCGAATCATAAAATCTTTTTGGATAAGATAATAAATTGTCATGCATGTGTTGTTGCTCTTGTCGTGTACATTGAATTAACATCTGTGAATAGATTTCAAAAAATGGTTGATGCATAAAAGAGAGCCGAGATAATAACCAGGGATGCAATTGCCAGACACCAGATTCTAAGGAATTTGTTAAACTTAATAATTGTCGACTAGTGCCGATGTTAACAAATGAAGTGATCCAATTCAGTAAAATACGATTCAATTCAGATGAACTTTGTAAATTCCCTTCACTCGGCTGAAAAGAAAATATCGCAGCATGGAATATGATCTCCTAATAAAAATGTCTTCAAATATAACATAAGCAAAGTAGGGTTGTAAAAAAGGTTTGACGTATAGATGCTAAGTCACCTCACCATTCCATCAGATGATTGAGTTGAATGATGATGTAAAATATTTTTAATTTGATCAACGCCATTAGAATCAATTTGCCCATCATCAAAGAACTTGTCGAGATCTTTTAAGAGTAATCTAGCTGCAGCACGTCTTGTGGTAGTTGTATGTAAAAGTTTATAAGAATATTCATGTTTCAGTGCAGTCATACCTATAATATAGAAATAATTACGCACATATTTCATTGCAAAAATTTTACCAGGAATTTTAATCCTTACTTTTTTGTGGTTTTATCTGAGATAATCCCTCTAATAAAGTAGTTTGAATTCCGGCTAGGACATCGGCCATAGCTAAAGGCTTGGCGAACATTTGTACATCCTATAGTTAATTCTACATTTAAGTGGTAATTTTATAATAAAAATAAGCATTTAATGATCGTACCTCAGCAATATTTTCTTGTTTTGAAAAAAGACCATAATTTAAAAACTCATAATTATTTAAAACATAAAAGTATAAATCGCTTGGTAAATAAATGTTTCTTAATAAGGCTCTATAAAATAAATGGTAAGCACACTGAAATTCGGTTAAAAGTGGAGGCATAACGCGATTTTCAGTTTTTGCTTTTGAAACGAGTTTTTTATATAAAAGTTCAGCATCTTCATCGGATATCATAAATAAGGCATTCTCGACGTCGAAAGCACATTGAATAGAATTTTGTAAATATTCAATATTCCATTGACTTACAAGAGAAGTTTTTGCGACATTATAAATTTCGGAAAATTTTAAAAGTTGATTAAACAAATTTTCGTTCATTGTTTTAAGTGTTCTACATTATAATGGTTTAAATTTTTTCACCGATTTTCATTCACTTTCTCGCGTTCGTGTAACATTCTAATCTTGTAATTTTGTTGGTCGATCAAGAGACGACCTGTTGTTTAAAAAGGTAATGATAAATCATACGATAAATGCTTTGAATTGCTAGTTCCTGATCAAAAGATCGACCACTCACGTTTTTTTTTGAGATACAGTATTTTTCATAAAATGTCTCGTGATAATTCCACCGACAAGGTTTGCACCTCGAATGCTAGATATCATTGATCTTATAATCAAGCGGATCTAACAATTTAAATCCGGATCGATAGATCCATAATCTAAATAGATTTACACCGAATTCTTTAAATACTTAGGTTAATGAGTTTTCTTTATATTTACGCATTAAATTATTTCTAATAAGATGAAATTAAATGTGAGTGATGCCAAGGGAAAACGGGTTATTGGTTTATCATTTATTAAATAATCAATAATAAACCAATGTCCCATTTTCCCTTGGCGTCACTCATATATAGTGAATTCTGAATGGCGCACCAAATAAACGCGAATTAAAATATGGTAATAGAGTTTCGAAATTAACTAATTAGCGGCGTATTTCGAAAATAGTATTTACTATGTTGAATTATAAATTGGAAGATTCTCTGATTTTAATTATGAAACCCCTAACACTAATATGGGCGGCAATAGAAATGAGGGACCTGCGCATACATATGTGTAGATCCTTCATTTCCTGCTGTGATTGACATTTTAAAAAAATTAATCCCTTAACTTTTGATGAATTTTGAGGCTATCTTGATGGATTAATATTCAAAAGAAAGTTTAGATCTTAAGCTTTCTTTTGAATATGAATTCATCATGATAACCTCAAAATTCATCGAGATATAATTTATGAAAGTTAAGGGATTAATTTTTTTTAAAAATGACAATCTGCTTGACGGCAGCTCATATGGGATCTTTGCTATTAAAATGACCCTCCGAGTAGAGTTAATACCTCTATCCGGATTTATATATCCGGATATATACTATGCCATGTGATATAACGTGACATAATGTTTTTATATCCGGATTGAAGTATTAACTCTACCTCCGAGGCTATGTTGATTTTGTGAATAAAAATTAAATTTGCCAGCTATCTAGTAATCCAATTTGAATAAAATTTTTTTTATTTTGTAAATTAAAAAAATTTTATTCAAATTGGATAACTAGATGCCTGGTAAATTTAATTTTTATTCACAA